CCTTGAACACACACAGATCTGCCTGCCTCTGCCTCCAGAGTGCTGGGATCAAAGACATGTACCACCACATCCAGCTGACTCCTTTTTTAAAGTAGAAATAGAAACAAAGTACAATGGTGCCAGCAAAGTGTTCTCCCTGATACCCAGAGGATTGAAGAACATTTTTTCCCCCTTGTTCTGCTTTTGCTACTGAATGATTCGTGAATTTATGGGTTGGATTTGGTTTAGGAAATGTCAAAATATTTTTTGGCATACTTAAGTTTGCCAGACAATGCTGCTTCATATTGGACCACTACTTCCAAAAAGCCACCTTCTACCTTCCAAACTAAAGAGGAATAAAAACTGCTTTTTCTTTTCAGCTGAAGTTTCAGTTCGATTCCTTTTCCTTTCTTGTTGCAATCTAATCTTGACTCCATCTTTCTAACCTGCCACTGCTCCAGCTAACAGAGACAGTACCTTTCCCAGCCACCCCAGCACTGGGAGTCTGTCCATATTCCAGTTTTGTAGTCAGCAATGCTCAGTTTGGACTGCTCTATTCTCAAAAATTTTATTAGAGCACTCATTTGCCTGAAACGGATAGAAAACTATTCTTAAAGGCTCTTATCGATGGACATATAGAGGAGGACATTAAGTAAAGATGTAGCTATTTATTTTACTGGGCAGATCAGAGCTGTGTATTGTCTTCTACTGAGTTCTTCCTTTCTAGGTTTTTATTTTCTGTGGTTTTAGGGATTGAACCCAGGGCTTTACACATACTGAGCAGGAATACTATCACTGAGCGCTATCTCTACCTCCATGTGGGGACTTTTCTTTGCTATTTTTCCACTTCTTTATTCCTTTATGAGTGGGGCAATAAGATAGACAGGTATTTACAATAATAAAATTTAGCATTGCAGCTTGGCTGGCTTTAGACATATCCAGGCCATCTAATCCTGTCCTGGTCAAGCCTTATGTTTCTTCCCCTAAAATATCAACCATTCAGAAATTTGGATTCCACAAGGCAAAACAGAAACCAAAGGTAACAAAAGAAAATAAAAACTAGGAACTTAAATGAGTTCTCAGAAGCCCGTGGGAAACACAATGTCTACCAAGGTCTTGCTGTTCTGCCCCTGAGTTTCTAGGTTGCAGAAACCTTGTGGATCACAAGACATCTTCCTTTGTCTCCAGCAGTAGGGACTGGAGGTAAGGACTTGGCTAACTATGCCATCATTTGCCCATGGCTATACCCAGAAGCAATTTGGTATACATGTCTTCTCTCCTGGGTACCTAGATTAGTCTGTGTCTTCCTAATTGCAATATGGAAATCTAGTGATTCTGAGAAGAGTTTATTTAGTAACAAAGATGTCCAGAAGCCCTGTAAGGGAATCTTAGCTCTGGCACTTACAGTAAATTTGCCTGTGCCCTGAAGAAAAATGCAGGTTCAGTTATATCCCTAGTGGATGACAAATATTGTTATCTTTGCTTCCCTTTGTACAGGAGTCTCGTTTAAAGCCATGGTGCATTAGGTGGGCTCTCCAGAGGGCAGTCAGCAGCCTCTCCTCAGAGGAACACAGTGCTGCTTTTGGTTACAGGGAGGGGGTTAGAAGGGTACTTTCACCTTGTGCACGTTCTCATATAAAATAATGCTTTTACGAGACTCCCCAAGCTCACTACAGTTAATTGTACTGCCTGGGGAAGTTACTTAGCCTTGCTTAAGTTCAAACTCCTTATCTAAGAAAATGGAAGTTGTCCTCAGTGGTGATGAGATAAGGCTATGCCCAGCGCTTAGGAAGTACCTAGCTTTAAGTGCTGTCCTCAGTACCACATCACTTAAATCCATGACTAAGTTTCTTCTGTGTGTTCTCTCATTAATTCAGCAACAACCCACAGCTGGAGTGAGTTCAGCTTGTTGTTAATGCAATGACTCATTTCCTCCCAAGGGATCTGAACTTTTCAGAAGGCAGACCTTCCCAAGGAATCCATCATACTCTCCTAGGGAGTGGCTTGGGGCTGGGAAATCTTTTTTTTTAAATTTTATTTATTTTTATTTTATTTTATATGTATGTGTGTATTGCCTGCATGTAGATAAGTGCATCCGTGTCATGCAATGCCGGTGGAGGTCAGAAGAGGCCGTCAGATCTCCTGGGACTGGAGTTACAGACAGTTGTTAGCTGCCATATGGGTGCTGGGATTTGAACCTGGGTCTTCTGCAAGAACAACCAGTGTCCTTAACTGCTGAACCATATCTCCAGCCCCATGGGGCTGGGAAATCTTAATCTTGAATTCTTATCTTTTGTCACCTCCCACCCCCAATCTTCCCACTGGATATTTAGAACTCCTTGTAAACTTCACAGGATCAAAATGCATTGAGATCTGTAGGAGGTGTTGGAGGAAAAGGGGGGACTGGGATGTTAAAAATCAGGGCAACAAAAATACCTATGATGTCATTTACCCCGACTTCTGAACCAGCAGCAGCTTTTCTGTTCTCTGGTGTACTCCACCTTTCGTAGCCTGTGCTATGACTGAACCCCAAAGTAGGTCTCAGAGGGTCACCTGCTTGGAGGGGTTCTCATCCTTCCCCTCCCTACAGCCCTATCTCTCCCTCCTTCTCTGACTTTTAGTGTAGCCAATTAAACCTGAACAACGGGTGGATGGAGGAAATATGCTGCATCCATGGAATGGTACAGCAGGGACCAGTTTCACTGTTAATTTAAAATGCTAGAATTAATTAGGTAGTGTAAATGAAGAATTTAATAAGCACTCTTTACAACCACAAGTTCTACTTTTATTAAACGCTGCTACCAAATGAGGGCAAATAATCTCTGGTCTCTCTATATTTCCCTGCCTCATTCCCATAAGTTCTCTACAAATAAATTTTTTTTCCTGAGTGAAAAAATTGCATAGTTATAAATCTGTGCCTGAATTGTAGTTCTGCTTTCCGCCCATAAGCTTCAGTATGGCTCTGCTTGTGCTGGAGAGGGTGCTAAACAAACCAGAGTTGACAATTTTGGTTTTGTATACCAAATTAAAGGCTGTATTTGAAGCTGTCACTCCTATTCAAATCTACTCGGTGAACTACCAAATTAGCATTCTTTCAGTAAAAGAATCTGCTTGTTTAAACATGTGTCTTTAGCAAACAAGGAACAACACCATGAATCAGTACTTTAAAAAAAATCTCACTACCATTCTAAGGAAACTCTTCTGAAAAGGTGATTAATAATATCCATTCACTAATATAGCTGGCAGAATCCTTATTTAGAATATAATGTGAAACCAAAAAGTACATTTTCTATATAGGAGTGGGAGGAAAAATCATATGGTTATCCGGTTTTAATTTGGTTTGAATTATCATCCCATCATGTAAAGATTATCAAGGAATCTAAACATCAACTTTATGAAAGTATAGGTAATTTTGTTAAAGAACAGACAGTCCAGTACCCTGGGATAAGCCTGGCCCCATTTGGAGGCCTTGGTATCTTTCCGTCCTTGAAGCACACTTGCTGCGTGTACCAAACCAGCACCTTCTACTTACTGAGAGCCTCCTATCCAATGGCATCCTGCTAGGTGTGGCATAGCTGGCTTCTCAGTTCATCCTTGTAATATACCTTTTAAGGTAAGTATTATTTTCCAGTTTTACAGATGAAGAAATTTGCTGGTTTACACTGTAAAAAGCAGCACTGAAGTTTAGCTTTGCATTTCTGTAAAGTACTTACTTTGTGAAGGTGCACATTTACATGTGAATTAGAAGAATAAAAAGAGGTATTTATTTGTATGCACATGAATATATTGTAGTGTCTGATTTCAAATCAAGATGATGTCTTTTACTAATTAAATCAGAGAGCTTCATTTGTATTTATACAGGCTGGTTGCTTGTCAAACTGCCCAGTGAAAGTGAAATGGAAGTCCGCACTCACAATTCACAAGTGCTCAAAGCCTATATGAATGAGTTCAGGAGCAGAGTAACAGAGGACAGTCACTATACCACTTCACTGTGCAGCTGTGTAAGTTTTATAAGAAAGCATTCTCACTTCCAGTAAGATTATAGGGAAATTCTCTGCCCCCTACCCCCCCAGCAGCCACAGTATCATTGTCTGACACTGAATCTTTAATGAGTAGTTAGTTATCAATTAGGAAATAAGTCAGTGTGTAAAAATCTTGATTATTGAAGTTGTGTGAATTGTTTCATTTTTAAATACAAGGTCAAATACAAAGTGGTCAAAGACTAGCTTCAGAACAATGAAATAAAAAATGAAATAGAATACCCAGAATGTATAGCTTCATTAGGTATCAACTCCCTTCTGTAGACTGGTTGTATTCTAGAATTATCTACTATCTTTAGGGCTTGTTCTTCCCAGGGACAACGAACAATGGTGTCATCTATCTACAAGTGTACTTGGGTTCCCTTTAAAACATTTGTCATGATATGGAAAAATATTAGGCACACATACATCAAATGTTTGAGAAGGGAAGTTATTACTAAAATCTAATGGAGTATAGGGAAGGAAAGGCAGAGGGCAGAACTTGGACCCGAAGTGCAAACAGGAGACTAGGAATGTAGCTCAGTTGGTAGAGTGCTTGCCTCAAGTGCATGAAGACCCTGTATCTAACACCACATAAAACTGGGCATGGCAGTATATGCCTGTAATCCTGACACTCAGGAGGTGGAGGTATTTGAGTCAGAAGCTCAAGGTCGTCCTTAGCTACAGAGCCAGTTCAAGGCTAGGCTGGGATACATGAGACACTGTCTAAAAAAAGTAGTGGTGGCTGATTAAGAATAAACGAAGATACAACCAAAGGGTCACTTCCCACAAAAGGTGAAGAAGCTCCTTCTTCCTTATCTTACCAGTCTTTGATGTGGCTTTATGTGGTGCACACACATGTATGTAGCATGGGCTTATGGGAGTGTATCCATGTTATCCTTGCATGTACGATTCATGATGTACTCAGATGTACCATCACACATATATACATTTTGTCTAAGGTCTGCTGTGAATCCCAAGCTTGAATATTGAAGAGCATACCTGTAATTTTGTCTCTCACGAGTTTGCAGGATTCTATTTCACCAATGCTCCCAAAGAGACTCCTGAACTCCTCTTGGGTCATATTCTGGGGTAAATAGTTGACGATGAGGTTGGTTTTGCTGTCATCTGTGGCTGTGCCTGTCTGCATAGGAGAAGGACAGTTTCTGTTGTTGCTGGAGGGTCCATTGCTTGTATTGGATGTTGGGCCATTTGACACCTGAGGCTCCATGGTGCTGATTATCTAAATAAAAATGTAAAAAAAAAGGAAATCTCAAACAGCACAATCATCTTTTCCTAGATTTTATTTTATTTTTGAAAGGAAAAAGAACAAGATGAAGCAAGATAGAGCAAAATAGACTGGGTTGTGAACACAGCCAATTTAGAAACATGCTTTTAACCAAGATGTTAAGCTCCCCTTGCTATTTTTAGGCCAGCCCCTAGATTTTGAACACAGACTAGAATGCAGTGGGAACTCTCCCATTATTTTGTTAATGAAAAGCTAATTCCTGTTTTCATTACACAATCACTCTCAGAAATGTATACTTAAGCCACACCAAATTATAATTAAAATGTAAAGTAATAATCATGATTAAAATTATAGTTCCATTAAAGCTGAAAAAGCTAAATATAGAGGGCTACACTTACAAGATCAAATACAGTACCTGTTTATTAACTGTCTGATAAAGTAAAATGACATTAAATTAAGTGGGGCTCTTCCATATGGGAAGGGCTTAGACTTTCAATGATGCTTAAACGCTGATCAACACTCCGATTTTATGAGTATTTTCAGGGGACTTACAAAGTCATCTAATTTTTTAAAAAAAATCCAGCCATTCTGTTACTATTTCTCCTAGGCCTCTAGTAAAATAAACAAAGACATGAAAAAAAAAATTCTAGATCTCTACCTTTGGTCCGGCATAAGCTATGGCATTTTACACATTATTTAAAGAAGACTTTCTCTCAATTTAAATATTTGTTTAGATATTTCGTTAAAGACATGTGACCTGTCCCAGGAAGCAGAGAAGTGAAGGGTGGTAGTGGGACAACAGGATTTAGTTACTCCTGCTTACTGGAAAAGGGAACTCAGGAAAACTATGGAGAAGATGATGCTAGAGTGAGATCAAGCTCAAAAAGGTAAGACATGAAGATGCCCTGCATCGGTTGACAAAACTGGAAAACCACCAAACCACAGAACTACAAAGTATCACTTAAGGGAATGAAATCTAGTTCACTGTTTAATATTTGAGATGATGTCCACATACCCAGTGACAGTCACTGTAGAAAGTGGGGCAGCACCTGGACATGTACCTAGGTTTCCTAGCTCCAAACAGAGACCACCAGTCTCTCCTTTCCAGTCCACCTTATTATTGTTCCTTAGTTGTCCATCAGGATATGGCTGCCATTGTCTTTGAAACTGCTATCAACTGCATGGGGATGGAATCATGCTCTGCCCCTTACGAGCTCTGTGTTGTCTGACAAGGGCTTTTGACTCAGCGCTCCTCCCTGGAATAAAGGGGCACAATACCTCCTGCTTTGCAAAAACAGTGAGAAGGATCCAGTGACACGCATCTACACAGCAGCTGGACTGTCCCTGATAAAAGGCATTCTGTCAATCACCTGATGGGGCTTTACTTACTGAGCAAGGAGACATAGTCTTTTATGTTCTACACCTCAGCACTTAGGAAAATGAAGGACAGAAGATAACTGGTGACCAGTTCCTTTTACTGTATTATTTTCTTGGCTGTCCAGAGAACTTTGGTGGGGGGAGAGGGTAGGGGGTAGATGTTTTCATTGAACATTACATTCATGTCATCAAATGTATAAATCTGAAGGCTACAACTGAAGAATGTTTAGCAAGTGAACAGAGCTCACATCTGGATAACCACCTCCACATCATGACTAGCGACAGAAATCTTCCTCTTGTTTATCCCGTCATTTAAATCAGTCCCACCAAAATATCCACCTATCTGACTTCTAATTTATATATCCAGATTCTCTATTTTAAACGTTATATACATAGAATGATACCATAAATATTCTTTCATGCCTTTTCATACATTTGAAATGTCACCTGTGCTTGACACAAGGCCACAGGCTGCTTTCTCTACTGCTATCAGAATTCCATTGTATGGAAACATCACATTCTATTCATCTGTTGAAGATCTAGATTGCTTCTAGTTCTGACCTAGTATACTGTTATAAGCACCATGCATATGCCTTTTGGAATAGTACCCACATTCCTGTTTGGTATATTCCTAGGATTCTACTTATTGGGTGGTAGGGTATACATACACTCAGCTTTAGCGGACTTGTGTCAACTATTTCAAAGTGCCTGCACCAGTTCATGCTCTCGCTAGCAGAGACTGAATTGCTTCATTTGCTCCATATTTCTCTAAATATTTGGTGACTAGTTTTTGGTTTTATTTTGGCTTATTTTATCATCTGAAGCAGAGTGGTATAATAAAAGGAAAGATTTTTATTTTTGGTCTTTTTTTGCTACTGTTTTGAGACAGTGTTCCTAATGGCATTATGCCCATGTTTTTTTGGTACATCTACACACAGGTATGTAGCTCAGGATACCTTAAATTCAGATCCTTTTCCTTCAGCTTCCCAAATGAGACTTGATGCCTGGGTAGGAATTTTTTTTTCAAATACATTTTATTTATTTATGTAGTGTGTGCATGCATGTGCACCTGCCTGCATATATATATATGTGTGTGTGTGTGTGTGTGTGTGTGTGTGTTTGTATGTGTGCACATGTCATGGCATGCATGTGGAGATCAGAGGACAACTTGTAGAAGTTGGTTCTCTCCTATTACGTAGGTCCCTAGGATGGAACCCAGGCTGTCAAACTTGGTGGCAAGTGCCTTTACCTGCTGAGCCATCTTACCCTCCCAGGAATGTGTTTTCAGACAAAGCTGCCTTAAAATTATCCACTTGATATCAGGTGGTTACTTCAGTACTCTGAGCCTCGATATCCTCTTTTGCTGAACTAGAAAGAAGGCCAACATGCACTGTACCTTCAGAGTGAGCGCTCATGTCTATACAAAGTCCAGAACATAAAGTGCCTAGAGCCTTCCGAACTGTTATTCCTTTCCATGTCCCACACACGTGAGTCTTACTTTATTCCCTTTTTTGATGGCTACGCATGGGAAATGAAAACCAAAAGAAAAACATGAAGCCTTGAGAAGAGCCAAGGAAACAAAGCAGATTGAGGAAGGTGGAGAGTGTCGAAGGTTCTTTACCACCATGTAAGTAACTTAAGTGGCTCCACTTCTCACATCACCAGAACTTTCTTCTTGGCCTCAAGTCAACTGGAGGCTTCCAGAAGGCTGGTCCAGACAGCAAAGAGAAAGCAAAAAGCTCCTGAGAAGAATCTTAACTAAGGCTCTCCTCAGAACTTGTAGAAATTTTACCCAGAAAGTCCATTCAGCTGCTTTGCCCTTGGGGCTAGGGTCCAGGCAAAGAATCAGGGCCAGTGCTGTGTATGCTAATGGCGATGAAGTTACAAAGTATCAGCAGAACCCTGGCTGGGAGGCAGATTTCTGCTGGGCCAAACCCTCAAGCCTCATGGGCTTGCCTAGTGCCTCTGTTTTCTGGGCTGCCCCTCTCTTTTCTGAGTCTGTTATCCCAGACCACAAACACAGGAAACGCTGCCAACTTTAAGGAACTTGAAAATAAGAATTTATCTGCTTCAGGAGGCCTTGCTGATCTAACCTCAGAGCTAACCAGCTACTGCATTTTGTTTTAATGATATACCACTTACCCTAAATCCCCTCCTAAGATTGTTCTACAATCTATAGCACCCCTTTCTTGCTAATCATCTTTCTCTTGTTACCCCTCTTACAGCTTCCCCAAAGACACTGAGAAAATATCTTAGACTACAGTAGCCTTTCTGGTGTTGGTGATAGAACATAGAAGAATGCATGAAACATGTAGGCGTGCTGAGAATCCGTGGCACTTAGGTGTTGAAGGTCGTCTGGCAGGTTCGTCTTTTGTTTGCTGGATGTTCATCTCACAGACAGAAATGTGGTGAAAGCCAGCACTTGTCCATGTAAACATCTTACAGGTAAACCTTCTCTAGGAAGCATGAAGGCAAAGTAATTTCAGTTCCCCCATCAGCTTATGTCTCCTTGTAGCCTATGTGGGTTTTCTAATTTATGTCAATTCCCAGAGTTGAGCCCTACCTGTGAATTAGACAACCCTAAATGGACTCCAACTTTTGAAAAGGTGACATGAAATACAGTTTACCACTGAGCTACTTCCACAGACTGTCTCTATAAATTAGGTCATATCATTCTTGTGTGACGGAGATGGTGCTCTTTTCTCTGCAGACACACACTAAACAGTTATCCTTTGTGTATCCAGAAAGAACTGATGAAAATACACACACACACACACACACACACACACACACACACACACAGTGTTTTCAGTGAAAACGTATTCTGAAATCTGAGAAGCCTGTGGAAATGCAGGGATCACGTTATAAGACCCCTCACTGGTCTTACGGATGCAACACAGGCTAGAAGGAATAATCAGAAATTAAAAATGTCAGCATCAACTCTGGCATCTGGATGAAGATTTTAAAAACATTACCTAGAAGAGATGTCACTAAGAGATAAAAATATTGAATTCATGAATATGAAACTGAAGCATTTTAAGGTTTTTAAAGAGAGAACACCTATGTTCTCTACTCGGGAAATGGACCAGATGTAAAGAAAATACATTTGGTGGGAAGTCCATCCACAAATAAGCACAGGAGCAGGCTAGGCAAAATCAGAACACCTGCTTCCTTAGGCTAACATCTTTGATAGTCTAACAGTACAATTTTCATTACAAATAAATGCATCAGTTACTCAAGTGTGCTTAAGTACTTTAATGAAACATTTTATGTGAGTCTCACAGCCAACTTTGCAGTTGACCAGATTCCAAACCCCTAACTTACCCTCCTTCCCTCTTCTGAACGGTGACTAAGGACAGAATTACTGTCAGCACCCAGGAAAGAGCTTTGAGGAGGCTCAGTTGACTCCAAACTCTAATGGTTGTACAAAGCACCGCATTAAATCTTTTATGTTCCTGTGATGTATTTTAAGAAACATTATACAGGAAGAAAATTTCAGGGGTAAACTATTAGAGCAGTGCACAATAATGTAAGCACTCAAATTCTGTCACTGTAAATGTCGATGGATTGAATGACTAATTACTCATACTCAACACGTTAACCTCGCCCCTCCCACC